TGAAGGTGTTTCGATTGTTGTTATATTGTTAGTATGTATGCAAGTAACCACCCAAAGGGATGAAACTCAAGGTTTCAAGTCATTCTGCATCCACATAATACTTTTGTCCCACCCGTAACAAAAGTAACAAAAATCCACAACTTTTGTTACGGGTGGGACAAACATTGCAGATGTTTAAAATTGGATTAATTTTGAAATATTGCATTATCATATACATGTTGCATATCAATAGAAACCTCTTTTTTAAGAACTTGCATTTGATCCTTTACTGAAGGTTGTTTAATACTTGGATAAAGAGTTGCAAATTTTGTAGTATGCATAATTCTAGCCATTTGTCAAAAACTTTGTCTTATGATATCTCTGAAAAGGTTTAACTTAGGATGCTACAATTTTGGGGGGGGGAACGGTTACCCCCTCCTGGATCCGCAACTGGGGAATGACCTATAGAACACAATGTATTTCATGTCACGTGCACGGGAATGTGGTGTGATAAATGAGTTAAATGAGAAGACTAAAATATTTTGAGCGAGAAAATTCATGCTCTGTGGATTGTACTGTTTGATTTGCTCCTCAAAAGTGAGGTGAAAGGGTATGAAATTTAAATAATTTGGGCGAAGATATGACATTTAAATATGATTTTAGTGATATCCCAACAACTCAAATGATTGACTTCTTGAACTTCATTTCTTGAAAGATTCATTAACGCATGCTAGGAATGGTTTATTAACTGGTCAATTAAAAACATGTCAATATGGTCAGTAAAGCCAACTTTTTTTTTCCCAGCACAGTTTGTACTTCATTTGTATGTAATGACTCATCATGCTTAGGCATCGGAAGTTGACTGGTCAACATGGTCTTTTCTGACCATTTACAATCATGAGCCCAACAAAAGTTTATGCCTTATGACTGTATATCAGTCAACATCTCATCGCTAAGATAAACTTACCATACCGATTGCATAAGTTGGAATATTAAACAGTAATCAGTCATGTTTCAGAGATAGATTCTTCAACTAAGTAGCTCCATAAGTACTGAATAATGAGGAATTTAACATAATGTCCAGAACTAGAGTTTCATGGTTTCTGTTGAGTATTTATTCCTGTTTTTGCCAGAAAAAATAGCCTATCTTTGTATAGTTATATATGTAGCCTATACAGTACAGTATATCTAGCACTGTGAGCACCACTGTGGCCAAGGTATTCCTACTCATACACCCTGATTCTCCCCCCCTCCAAAAAAAATAAATAATAATAATAATAATAAATAAGTAAATAAATAAATCTAAATAAACAAAAATTGATCTCCTTGCATTTTGGCATTCGATGCTGTATGATTAAGATTGCTGATGGAAGCTGTTTTTTTATTTTCAAATGGAAAGTATTATTTATTTGGTTTTCCAAATAGTAGTACCCAAGTAGCCATTTTGATCCAAAAAATAAATCCATTGGACATACCCTCATGGACATCCCCTGGATGACTAAATGTCTCGTCCAAGGAAAATCCTTGGACACGTCCATTGGATGGACTATTGGATGTCCGTCTCTTTGGTTCCATTGGAGATTCCCTTTGGGAAAGCTTTTGGAAGACCATTGAGGGGTACAGCGGTAGCTATGGAGCATAATTTACCTGCTCATGAATATTCATGGTGTGGGAAAGAAGCATTATCTGCATATTGATAATCTCGCCCTCACGTTCCTTGGAGGAGCTACAAAGAAGTGTTTGGAAGGAAAGTGAAGTATTGTTGAGCCGAAACTCTCTACTTCCTTTCCTTATCTCTCAATCAAGACATTGTTTTCCCACCGCCATAGGCAGCATGGTTCTTACAGGGAAGGAACAAACTTACTTGTCAAGGGGATCCACGCTCGCACCATGCAATTTGCAAGAAATGCCGAGAGTCCCCTTGAGTTATGTTACGTCTCTCAACCAATGAATTAATTAGAATGACTTCCTTCCTTAGGCTTGTACGTGGGAAATTATCGAATAGAGGATGGAAGGTTACGCAGAACAATTCGTTAGCATTTTGGAAATCGAGAGACATACAGCGGCGGGATGAGCGCGACCTCGTGACCTATATTATGGGAACTTTATATTCCTTGGATGAACTGCTAGATGTCAGGTCAGATGGAAGGCCTCAACGGGGTGGGGATTCCATCCAAGGACATCCAATGGAAGACCATAAGAAGTTGGAAGACCATCCTTGGAGGTTCCATTGCTAGACGTCCAATGAATGCCCAAAGGACTGACACATTGTTTCGTTCGTATTGTCGAAATCTAAATGAAATCATGCACTGGTCCAATTATAATGTCACGCTGATGAACGGGCGACCGCTTCTGGACTCTGAACAACTGGACTGTCCATGGACGAGTTTTGGATCACCCATGGCTACTTGGATAATGAACTCTTATATGAAATAATGCACTGGTCAAAGGATAATATCACGCTGTCCATATAATGATTGAAGTTGGATTTCGATCTTAGATGAGACATTTGAATTAAAAAATAGAACTATAGAAATCCCACGATCGGATGCTCGTAATGTCATTCCAAAAAACCATCATTCAATGAAATGGTAATAATTGTGTTCGATGAAGGGAAATTCTGCTCGGATGAAGCTCAGGATGCATGAGAAGATATCGATCCATGGCGATGACGTCCTATCCATCCATAGGACGATCGCTCTTGGACTTATACCCAATTCTGGACAACTGGACTGTCCATGGACGAGTTTTGGATCACCCATGGCTACTTGGGTAGGTGACTAATTCTTGCTGGAATGAAATGGTTATAACTTATTTTTTCTCTGAATGTGTTCATTTCTTCAATCAGGCAGATACAGAAATGTTCAAATAGACTAGTGGAAAATGACAATAACAGGAAAAGAAACAAGAAACAAAACAGGGCAGAGAAAAATTAATAGGAGCAGAGGTGTAGGAGAGCAATGATAACGTGACAAAAATGTTTTGATCCTGCTAACTGCTCAGATGTTTGATTTTTTTCGACAAAGTTTTCCTGCCATTTCTGCAGCATGACCCACCGATACTTGATGAAAAGACAGTCATGAAACGAGTGTTGCAGGGTTTACAGAATGGGTAAAGATCGTCCTCAGTGTACCACTTGAGTTCTTCGACGTCATATATCTCCAGACGGTAATGCCGGGGGTAAGCAGCAGGTTCAGTGCCAAGGACAGACTTCTGAAGCTGGTTCAGTCTCGCATGTACTGTTAAATATGATTGGGGTCAACATTTCAGAGGGTCTACCTATTAAGGGCATTTCCAGGCGCCAGCAATGCGTGCGGTAGAGCAGATGTAGGACTTGATCCTGACAAATTTGCTACCTTCAAATTCTTTTTATTTTCTCCTTCGTGTGAGTAGCAGCACATATTACCTGTTTTCTAGGTTCCTCGGAAAAAAGAACTTGAAATATAGAATTGCTATCGCGTGGCTTGCCAGACAATGGCGGACCGACACGTGTTGCGACATTTTTTACATTTGACTAGTAATAAGCTGGCTTATGGATAATCATGGTCAGGGCTGCAGATTCTTCAATGACATGGAGTCGATGCAGAATGCAGGATGACTTCATTTTCACAAATGAAAATTCTTCACAGCAAACAATATACCAATACCACACTCTGTGCCATAATAATGTGCTACAAACTCAACTTCCAGCAATATCTTGCATCGGAATGATTCCTATGTCGTAATCAAGAGCCTGTCGGGAAAAAAATTAGCATGGTGTTTGTCCCATTTGTGCTGCAATAATAATCCGAGACACTTAAGAAAATGAAACGGCATATTGTCATTCTATCCAAGATGGTACAGGCACGAAAGCGCTGCCCTTCGGAGTCCCGGTGACATTCCAACTTGAAATCTTTTGGGTGCACTTCCACATGGAAAAATACCATGTAAGGATGTGAAGCATGGAAAACAAAATGTTTTTGATCATGGAATGCGCACTGTTTTTTCATGTGCTGCATTCATTTCGATGTGAGTGATTCATTCTTACGAATTTATAATTTGTCGTCCTTGTACTCATCTCAAAAAGCATTGAGATAGCAAGATGATTATGGTTCTGGTTGCAACTGCATCCCATTCGATGGCAGCCTCATTTGGCATTTCAGACATGAAACAGGAATTCCATTTTTTTTTAAGGCTAGGTAAGTCAGACGTGACATTCGTGACATTTTACTTCAGAGGCCTATTCTAATAAGAACCTGTATTGAAAAATATGACCTCATTTGCAGGCGAAGAATATAATGAAACAGCAGCAGAGAGTGGCAATTCGGAAACAAGGCTCATTCTAGGCAGTAATCCACAACTGTGTTTCAAATAAACTATCTCGTACCGAATCACTTTTACTGACTTATTCTTGATGTATCAAAGTGCCTGTGCCTCACCTAATGAAATGTTTGCTAATTGAAAATCAACACAAATAACAAGGCAACAAATAATCAACAATTGTGAAAAGACAAAAGCAAGACTGCCAAGACATGTCTTGCTTTTTTCTTGGCACGTAGCCCTTGTGCTGACTTCCTGGCCTATTTTCTTTTACTTGCAAAGAAACAAAGAATCGATCCCTCCCAGATATCCAACTCTTAAATTTGGTGAGATCATTTGTCAAATTCACATACATGCAAATGTTGGAGTGACTTCTCTCACATCTTTGCCTTGTTCTTGTCCAATCATGACATCAAAAGTGAGGGGTATTATTCCCTCTAAAAAGCATATTTGTTATATTAACCAATTTGTATCAGGCAAGAGAAAATGAAATGTCAATTTTATAGTCAGAATTCAGAACTTTTGTGAACCATAAAAAGATTTTGGGGCATATACGAACTCTAACACAATTTGGGAAACACCCCTATTGAAGAATAATACTTTTTTTTTACCAGCTTCTAGCAAACTATGCTTACACCCATCCAGAGGATATGAAATCACAGATATATCTGTAATCACAATAATATGTTCCTATTTTGGTGTAAGCAAATACATTCGCAGCAGCTCTTGACTGCTAGATATTGCTTCCTTCTCTGATTATGAAAATTAGGAACTATACTTCCACAAATACTTTCCCTGGATAAGACTATTGGACCTCCTCTGTTTCTTTTGAGACACTGACACCATCTAATTCCACAGTTTACTGATGGAATTCTATTGAAGTAGCTGAGTTTGATCAAAATGTGATTATTTAAGAACAAGGAACACCGGTAATATTGTAAAGAATTCCACTAACCGAGGAACATGCATGCAGGGCGAAAAAAAATCCTAGAAAGTGATACACATTTCCTGCTTGCCAACAAGACACCCAAATCCACATGAAACCCTGACTTGCAGTACAGCTGTGGCACATCAAAGACGAAGACAAGGACAATGACACTTTGTGAATGAGGGAACAAAATCATAAGGTAACTCCTATTCGCAAAAAGTACTCACTGTTCAGAATCCATGCTTTCCTTCACCACGACAAAACGGAATAACGAGGACACTGTGCACGATGCAGGGCGAGTTATATCGAGAGATTGTTTACTGTCAGTCCAGGCACTAGAATGGAAGAATGGAATCTTAAGGCATCTTTTATATCTCGTGGTCAGCAATGAGGTTATCCAAAGGTCATCTTCGGTTCCATTCTGTCTCGAGTGACTGGATCTGTCCACCTTCGGTCACGACTCAACTCCTCTCAAGAAAAAAAATCCCATGAGCAATCCCTTGAAACACGACAACGTGGAACAAAAAAAAAAATACTTCTTTCTAGGGAACAACAAGCGTATTCGCTAGAAAATGATCAATCACTAGGCTTCGCTGCATCTGGTTCCACGACCAAGAGCAGCTTCTGAACTCCTTCTGTAATCAATTCTGTAACAGAAAATACAAAAAGGCATCAGTTCTGCGTGCTCTCTTTAACATTACATAACTATTTTCAGAGAAGGAACGAAAAATCTCACCCATGAGAGACTGGAATAACTTGGGCTTGTTCTGCCAGTACACGAAAACGAAATATACTGGAACACCGGTGAGAATGATAAGCATCCCAAGTCCTAGGCAGAAAAATCAAACAGGAATTCTGTTACCAAATGTACGTCAGAGAAAACGCATCATTTTTAAAAACCTAGGGTGGATTTTTGAACAGAGAACTCTCCGATAATGCAGCTTTATTCCAAGGAAAATACATGATATTTCATGCAAATAAAGCAGCATTATCGGATAGTTCATTGTTCAAAAATCCACTATAGTGTTTACGAAATTTGCCTTGGATTAAGAGCACGAAGTAGATGTTCACCAATTGGACCATTTCGCAAAACTTGAAGCACATTAACGCCAAACTCCTCGTATGGGTTGAGGAATCCGTCGATTTCAAGATTCGACAATTAAATAGATTTCATATCACTCTTAATTTTCCACCGGTTAAAGGAAAATTGCTGCCTGATGAGACTGTACTTGACATTGTGGCCCGTATGCAAGAACCTATCACTTGAACGCCTATTACATGGTAGCAATCATGATAGGTATCAGGCGATAGGTTTATCATTGCAAGGTTTCGTATACAAGAACAATTAATAGGTACCCATCGTGAGGCCCATTTTGATAGGTATTCGTGAATCTTCCTGATGAAAACCTCCTATCCATCTTCTTGCGCCCAGGAACAATGCCATGTGTATCTGCTCAGATATGACTGACCAGTGGTGTGTGATGATTTAATGGTATTAATCTAACCCCATTTAGCTGACTAGTGCTTGCATTCCGATTGCTGTGGCTTGATACAATGAACTCAACGGGATTTAATCTATCCCAGAGTAATTGCGCTCGGCACAAATTACGACGATTCGCATAATTAATCGGGTTAGCAAAATGCAGTGCAATCCATCCTGGTATCTCGTTATTAGCAGAATAAACAAGCTCTGGATCATAATAGATTGTAGCGACTTTTATACCTATCATGATACCCTATAATTATAGGTATAAAATGTTTCTGTATATGGCCAACCTATCAAACTTATCATTTGATAACCCCCAAAATAGCTATTTTATCAGTTTTATACGTTCTTGCATACCAGCCAGTGTGTACGGTGTTGACTCAGCACATTCACCTTTTTAGTATTGATGCGCTACCATAACGAAAACATGGACGAATTCTCGATACATCCAAATAGCATGCTCAACGGAGAATGGGAATTCCTCGAAATTAACGTCAAATTGGATCAACTTCGGCTTGTTGCTTCAAGTCTAAGTACAGGTCTTTGAGGTCAATGCCCGACTTGGCACTGAATAATCTTTGAAACTCAATGCCGTCCCGTCAGCTGTGAAACAACATGATAAGACCAAGGCAGCCTCTTGTCCACGACGTCGGCTTTGAACCCCATGGCTTCAATCTACTTTACTAAGAAGGAGGAGCAGCGGAATAAGGCGATGAAGCAAAGCATTGTGCATATTCGTATCCTCAGAGCTTTTCCTTAAGGAGGGGAAGGGAGAGCCGGGCCGGAAGAGTCGGAAGAGTGCCAGACATTCTGGCAATGAGGGGGAAACAGCAGAGGGCCTCTCGCAATCTCTTCTCTTTCCTGTTCCTCTCTTCTCACAGCTCACCTGCGGAGATGGGGTCCGCCACCATGGACATGATGATGAGGAAGACGGTGAGGGAGATGTAGATGATGGGGAAGAAGAGATGGACCTTGATGGGCCGCTGCCTCTCCGGTTGCTTCCAACGGAGCCAAGGAATCACGCACACAGCCGCTCCGATGCTCAGCCAGGTTGCAAATCCCACGTAGTTGATCAGGGCAATCACATTAGATGACGTTAGGTAGAGCAAAGACAGCAACGTCTACCCGGATATCAACAATTTATTGGGTTTTTTTCCCCCAATCCTTCAAAGATGGACAGTAATCACTACATAGCTCCTGTGAGTTAACCTACCTGGAATATGACGGCCGGGGCGGGGGTCAGTCGAAAAATCTGTATGTTGGTCAGAACGCGTGGCATCTGTCCCTCCAGAGCTCCAGCGTAAAACAGCCTGCATGGAGGCAATTTAAAACAGAAAGATCTGTCAGCATCTCTTGAATGGAATATGGTCAAAGCTGTGCATATAGACGTCTTCACCTTGATGAAGTTAAAAGGATTCCATTCACCGCTCCGAAAGTGGAGAGAGAAACGAACACCGGGATTATCCAGGCCATGTATCCATATAATTCATCTGCAAAAGACTACACAGAAACCCGGCGTTTTCAGTATCAGTTCAGCTAGAAATATTGGCGATCAATAAAAAGTGTAATTTCTGCTATATATATGAGGTGATCAATCAAGGGCTTCGTCAGTGGCTCAACCAAGAGGCATTGGGGGGCTCAAGCCTACCCTTCCCCACCCCAAAGCTTGACATACGTAGTAAGATAAATTGTTGATGGAACCAGCGCAGAAGGATGTGAAGCAAATGTCTCCGATGGGTTGTTAACCCCTGAATTCTCATGATGGGTCTGCATGATCCAATAATGAGTGACAACAATGCTTGAACGGTAACAAAAAAAAATTAAACGGAAGTCAATGTTTTGGTTGGGCTTTGATTCTTGGAAATTATGAAGGATGGTCCAAAAGAAGCAGAAAGAATGTATTGCATTCGTTAGATACGTCTTGTGCGGCACTACAGAACCCTATATGTCCAACATATTCGCTACTTCTCCACATACTCTTCATTGCCATTACTTTTGCTTTGGTTGTACATTGACATCCTCGAAGAACTGTGTAGGAGTGTTCCGAATCCATGTCTGCATTGCTGCTCGCATATTTGCGATGCCATCATAGTGCATATGTCAAACACGAGTCTCGTGCATGCATCACAGCACACAACCTGTGAGCGTCTTTGCCTGTCTCTTTTCTTTTGCAGGTGGTTTATGATTATGGTTACTTTTGAACGTCCGCCTGCCAATGAGATTGCCCGCGTTTGGTGCGATTGTACTGTCCCCAGGAATTGCAATCTTGAACTGACAGTATTTCTCATCAACGCGGACAGTAATAACCACACAAAGGAGGAGGCGTTGCCACATCAATTTGGGTTGTAGATAAAAAATTACTTGACTTTTGTGCCACTTCTAGTACACGAATAACTTCAATAAGCCTTTTAATCGTAGCTTTTTTTAAATGTATACTTTGGGTTTGATAAACCCACGATGAGGTTTTATGCAAATTTCGTGGAAGATGAGGATTCTCGGGCTAGGTGTCACTGTAACTGGGTCACCATTTCTCTTATTGGTATGCTATGGTGCTATGAGGACAGATTCACCCATTTTCAGGAGTCAAAACCGCTCCAGCTTTTTCCTGAACTCTTGGGTACTGCCCAAAGAACAGGAGGAAGAGAGCCAAGTGTGCAAAATCGTTCCGTGTGAATTGTGCTGCAGCTTAAATTTTTTTTTTAGACCTAAGTACAGGTCCGTTCTCTTCTACATCACGTGAGTAAAGAATCATATGTTTCAGTTACTGCTCATGCAGCAAAAAAAGTTCCATGTAGGTTCTTGCCATGTTTTGCACTAGCAAGGCAGAGTATTCCCCGTATCCTTCCACGTGAATAAGCAATGCAATGCGGTTTTTTTTTCTCATTTAGTTATATTATGATCGATAGGATGTTTAAGGTGCACTTTACAGGTGTTTTCCAGACTCATTCTACAGCTCATGATGAGTATTCCTCAGTTGTTTCTCTCTCTCAGCTCTCTCGCAACTCTTCTGTTAGGTGCAGCAAATATCGAAAACTAAAAATCCTCCAAACTGTTCATGTCATTGCATGCCATCGTTTGAAACGAGTCTCGGTGAGTATGACACTTTCTAAGGGGGCCTTAACTTTGAGGCTTGTTTCCAAACATAGCATGTACAGGAAAAATAGTCATCCTTCCATCTCACCCCTGTAAAATGCAACTGATTGCCGAATCTAATTAAATTTCTCTTTCACTTCCACTAATGATATCAAGATAGACTTTTGTCAGTAAGGTTGTCAAACCTTACCGAAAAAATCTACCTTTACATCATTAGTGAAAGGATGGGTTTTCGGAACCGAACTAAAGCTGTAAAATCACGACAGTCAAATTGTTCTCAGGTGACACAGAAAGAAGGAAATAGTTTTTAGGAGCAACACTACTCCTATTGTAAAGCAGTAAAACCGGGCGCGAAAGATTAGGGTGAATCCCCCAAGATCCAGTGCTGGCTGCACCACAGCGACGAGACTCGTAAGAGAGAGGGATGATGGAGGGAGACTCACGACGGCCACTGCTTCTGACTCTAACACCTCCTTCGTCGTGAGAGCGGTGAAGAATGCCATGTTGGTCAACACGTAGACCACCGTCACGAGGACGCACGAGATCCCGATCGCCTTCGGAAGATTCCTAAACGAATAACGCGAGAGACGCATTTCGAATGACAGACGTATTCGACTCATCAAATACGAGTTATGAAATTCTGAAGCTAGAAAGCTCACTCACGCCACGGGATCCTTGAGTTCCTCGATGACGAAGTTCAAGTAATTCCTGAACGAAAGGGAAAGGGAGAAGGAGAGAAGCACTGATTAATGCATCAGCAAAAGTTTTAGGAAATATGAGAACAAATTTTAATTTTGTGAGCTACAGCGTTCTTCACTTGACTCAGACACTTATGTATGGGAAGTGTCTCGTGCACAAGTGTCAGAGTCAAGTGAAAATATGTCAAACCGAAATGAAGAACACTGAGTAGCAAATGCGCCTTTTCAGCAAACGTTAGGATTCTTCAAGATGCACGTGCGGCAGCTAAAAGAAATGTGCTTTCATCAAGATGCACAGCATAATATTGCATTTCCATTTCATAACAACTTATGCAGATATCTCTAGGTTGCCAGCGGCCTTTTAGATGTTACAAGTGCATATTTGTCGCATATGAAGGAGGATAGGGCTTGGTCCTCCCGCGTTGCGTAATTTTAAGGAATTTAATAAAATAATAAATTTATGTTGGGCATATTATAGCATATTTAGACCACTAATCCTACCAAAAAACGGTCCGATGAGAGCTACCTATCCTTGCATTTATCTTCCCTTAGGTGCATTAGCCCCTGCTTGGAGGCTACATCCACGATCGTCCCGAGAAACTTTCTTTTCATCTTTATGGAGGTGAGTATCGTACTCTATTTTATTTTATTTTTTTCCTTTGAGCCTTCTATTCAAAACATACTTGTTATCCCTCCATAACCTCTAACGTCATGCCACTTCAATTATTTCTTTGCTGATATATCCTCATAAACGAAAATTATCGGGTGGAGAAATTAATTGATGCAATCGAAGTTCGGATTGCAATTCAATGAAGTGATAAAAATGAAGCCCCCATCGGTGGAAAAAAAAAAAAAAAACCACCACTGGACTGGGCCTGCCCAGTTGTTATATTTTCTTTATTAGACCTTACTCCTATAATCTCGCTCGATGCATGTAATTTGATAGAAGAACTTCTCCGAAGGGGGATTGCTCACCATCCGTTGTAGGCGAACAATCCTGAGTAGCACGAGAGCGCTATCAACGTGAGGTCTGATTCCGTGTTCTCGAAGCTGAAGTTCTCCGTTTTTCCTAGAAAAAAAAAATAAGCGTCCCTTCGATCGTCCAGGTCATTACATGCCGTGATGATTGTGAACCGAGAAGGGCACGGCCGGAATGGCCTGCCCCGCAGGAAAGGACGATCCCGGAAGAGGGCTGCCGACGGTGGGGAAGAGGAACTCGAATGTGTAGGCAAGTCAGGCGCAAGCCATCACCTTGAAGTATGGTCGGCAGAAATGTTAAAACTCCTGTAGGCAGAAGTTTCCTGAATCTTGATATGGTAATCAAGCCGGTCAGCTCGGACAATTACAGTAGATCCACGTGTGGCTCTTTAGAGGCGGGGAACCGAGTGATTCGTCAGTGCCACATCTCGGCCACGCCCGGTTTACCCCAAAGATTTGATAATATCAGTGTCGAGATTCCTCTTCCCCGTGGCCATGGGCCTCGCAATGCATTCCATGGTGACTATTCAAGCTGGCAGGGTGAAAGAAAAGCTGGCTCCTAATTCGGGGTCTACTCTCTGGTGCCACAGCACACTACAGAGGGTTGTTCTAAATTGATGCGGCCTTCGTCTCACTTCGTTATTCAACATGTCTCCCATACCCAACTTGCCTATTCTTAAACCCTACGAATGAGGCCGAGTCCCTCATGCTCATGCGACCAGAGTCGGGTCACGAGGCAGTCGGAAATGGGATCGGAGCCATTCCTCAAGACTCTTATCCATCTTTCCTTCCGTACTGTCCAACTCTCGTTCGTGACTCGTACTTCAAAATGTAGTCATTTCCGATCGGCATGCATGTTTGTCATCGCTTCCGATGCGGTTCACTTATAGATTTAAAAAATCCGCCAATTACTGCATTGAAATTTCGCCTAGGGAAATATTACATACGGGCAATAATATTGGAATTGTTATTAAATTTTACTTCAACTAGGTAAAATTTTATTGGGTAGTTTTAAACTCAGCCTTTTTGGCTGATGAGATTATGATTGATAGAGACCGGAGCCTCGATCAATATCCTCTCGTCATCACCCGAGCTCTGCCACAAAGGCCCTCAATGTGTATACACAGGCCGTAGGTTTGTGTACTTTTTCCGGGCTTCCATCGGAAGAAAGCCTCCCGGTTATATTGCGCTTGCTCGACTTAACTCCGTGGCTGTCTCGCCCCTCGGTATTATTCACGCTGAATACAGAAGGGGATCGGCAAAATGCCAAAGTGCCTCTAAACGGATCTAAAAGCGTCCCCATCAATGGCGGCACACCGGTGCTCCATGCCAACTCCCTATCAAAGCATGCAAGTGCAGCTGATCATCAAGAAGTTCCCTCGAGAACAGAAGCACGATCGGTCCCGTTCCGTGGACACGTATCTCGAGTTCTCAGTTCTCAATGCTTCCCCTTCACCCCAAGCAATATGACTCCTTTTTTTTTCACTCCCTGGAAATAGGAGAGGGAGAAGACTGATGATCCTCTTATGACACAAGCACGTCGCATCCTCTCGCTCTCTCTCGGTTCCTGTCTCGTCTCTCGCGATTCCCGACGGCCATTTGCATACAATGAAGACAGCTGCTCTCCCTCTCCAAGTCGAGTTGGAGGTTTTCTGTTTGGTTCCAGCCGTGTCCTCTCGCGAACGAAAACCGGCATGCGAATGACTCTGTGGGCATCGATCCGTCGTTCAGTATCATGCATCATTAACGACGAGTTTCGTAGGGGAGAGACCGAGTATTGTTGCAACACACCTTCAATCCAGTCCAATATGGCCGATGAAAATACCAACTCCCCATGATCTCCATGGGGGACCATGCAATTCAATTATTTTCACTATTCTCTGTCCTTGGTACCCGTCTCGAGGGACTCTCGAGCACGTCTGATTTGTCAACAAGAGCAACTTCGGGAACGAGAAAGAGAAAGAGCTTTTTGTCAGGCACGAGCGACTGCGACTTGGCCGAGATGACTGCACAGTTTCCCTTCCTTTTGAAACCACTGATCCATGATTTCCTTTCAAGTCAACGGCCAGGCACCCGAAGAAAAAGGTGTTTCCTTGCGATCCCGATTAAGACAGATCATGAGAACCATCGATATGCGACTGCTTATGTGTATTCGTACCAAGCATGGATCATGCCCCTGGGTCTCATCTCGCATCCGCCCACATGGAGACGGAAATGGGGATGGATCTGGGAGACTCATCAAGGTTCTCTCTTCTTCAAAACTCCGCCCACGCCAACATCGATCTACAAGAGCATCAAGAGCATCTCCTCTCCGGCCGCTTTTGAGTTCGATCTCATGCTGGAGATGTGAGAAGCAATAATGGAGTTGTCAGCCTGAGCACATCCTCTGAATGAGATGAACTCATCCACCGCCATTCTGCCCATCGTGATGAGATGAGACCTACATTGCTCATTTTCTTCTCTCTTTGGGACGATTCCATTGATACCAAAAGGGATTCTAGTGATACCATTAAGGAATCCATCAGTCGATGGGAAGCCCGCAAAGCGCCTCCACTCAATGCGCAATTTTCCAAATTGACATCAGGAAGCCAAAACTTCACAACTCTTGACGATGCAATTGCTTAAATGAACCCCAGAACACTGAGTAAAAAAGTATACTCACCGAGACAGAGCAAATAGATGCCAGTACCGATGATGATGGCCAGAGCCAACAGTTTGGCATACGTGAAGATATCTTGCACCCTCGTGGCCCATTTCACATCGTAGCAGTTGACAAAAGTCAAGACCCCTGCAAGTAAAGGCATTATGACATTTATGAGAAGCCACAATTCATAAGATGACATTCATGGCGTAGAATAAAGTCGCTGCACACCACTCGCGAATTGTGGCATTGCGACCCCAACGGCTCCGTTACAGTCAGTCGCATTGAGAAAGCTCCGGAACCTCGTAGCAGCGAGGTTCGAAATGGAATCGGATGTGCCGATTTCAGTCTCGCCTTCGTAATAGAATGAGAAAGATGATGTCAGTATTTCTGGCGAGATATCTCCCGATTATGACATATACGCCCTCCGCACCGTTATGATTATCGTGACTCTCTTAAGGTTTTGCCATCAAATAGCACCAAACTTTCGTTACATGAGACCTATTGAAGAAAGAGACCTATTCAAGAGTCGAAACCACGAACTCCGAGCCTTTTTTTCTCCTCCGGCATGGCAGGATTAAAGAGTAGCGCAAAATGACTATACCATGTACCTAAGTGGTATTTCCCAAGCGTGGTTCGCAGCAAACCAGAGTGCGCAGACTCCGCATCCTACTCCAAACAACCCGTAGCAAGCCACGAAGACGGTTGTATTGGCGTTTCACAGCAGCTATTCACAGTCGAAATGCATCGACACGCAAATTTTTCCTCCCACCCCGGAGGAAAAATTCCGGGACCCATCCTGTCAGTATATGGAAAGGCCTTGCCTCCGATCGTCATCCATTCGTATTCTGGGGAACTGTCAGTGGGGAGTCGTAGCCTCTGTCTTCTCACTCTGATCGATTTTGGCCCCTTCTCCCCGAGTGACGTCATTACTCCAGTTTGCGTCATAGGAACCATGCGTAGGATCTGCGACGATGGGGTTTTTTTGTACCCTCCCACCCTCACATGTGCTAATCCTTCTGACGTTTCGCCTGACCTATTTCCCCCTCATTCCTTCACCTATTGATATTCTCTCGTGGGAGCTAAATCTCACCGCCACTCTCGTCCATTCACCATCTGCAATTCTCTCTCGTCCATTCACCTTCTACAATCCTTTCTCCTCTAGCCATTCAGCTGCGGTCAGTATTTGAAAATTCGGATCGAGAAGCATTATTATGATGAGAATTCGTGACCTCTCCAGTGGACTATCAGATGCGATAAGTAAATAAGAAACCGTCCAATAGATGCATTGGAAAGCTGTTCTACAGATTGTCCTCCATTTTGTTTCTGGGCTCACTACAAAAAAAATAACCAGACGCTAGAGCATGCCAAGCTGGAGCAAAAAGGCATGTTCCATTGACTCTATGGGAACGTGACGGAGGGACATGAAACGCTTAACAAGCCAGACACATTGATGACTGGAGAAATACGCAGCGTGTCAGGCAGTTTTTTTGCCACGCCTCATCAGCATTCGCTGCGAAGAATTCCTCTCAGGCCCTTTACAAATCTGCATCTCACCACTCTCGTCTTCATTTCTTTCATCTAGACCACTTTCACGCCTTTTCGAAAGGATCATCATTTTCGTCGCCATCTATTCTCAATGAAAAGCTGAAAGATTAATTTGCCCCACTGAGGGTTCGACACCTGTGGTCTTGAGGTGAGAGAGGAATGGAGCATGAAGAGTTTCCTGTCCTTGAAAATGAACATTATAAATGAGTTGAAGGAATGTAATTTACATAGTTCACTCCCCTAAGGCCCCTCTTGGCCGATGTCTGAATCATTAGTCTCGCCGCCAACTATCACTCAATGCCCCAGCAGCGAGAATGCAGGGAGGAATCTATATGCATGCTCCGTTGCCCGTTCCCCCTCCTTCATCTGCTATCCTCCCCCCACAACTTCATTCACATGTGCTCTTTTCGGCGGGGTCCCGGCTAGCTCCGTAAAGCATGAGGAAAAGACTGACGGTATGCCAACAATTTGGCGTCAGAAATAAAGCAAACGTGAGTCACAATTAGTAGACAGATGCTGGTTTCGAAACGGGTTCTTGGAAGATTTTTGTTTTCCCAGCTCCAGTTCTCAATGCATGTGCTTCTTCTCAAGTATCATTCCTTCTCCGTCCTTCCTGTCACTATATGGCCAACAAATTCCTCACTATTAATCCAATTTGCCCAGCGAGACGAAAGGAAGATCAATGGCAGTATGGAAACGCATAATTGAGAAGCTGTGAACATTTCATGAGAAACCAAGATTGATTCAGGAGTCAGGAGGTTCGTCGTCCATTACGATATACCTGATACGACGACGTGAAGACATGAGACTTTTGCTACCAGCGGCAAGTGAAACATGCCAGGAGCCCCATCAAGGAGTGCACTCACATTTTTCAGATTTATTCGCAACGGAGTCGGTGCTGCCACGACTTATTTTGACATGTTTACATGAAGATTGAAAATGATGTACTTGAAACATGATATTCTTGAACTTATGAAGATAAGATCGGCGTGCGAAGACAAAAATATATAGCTAAGAGTCAAACAATTGGCTCATCCAGAATACGTGCTTTTTGCCGAAGTGGATTCGGACAGTTCTGCATTGACTTTCCTTTACCCCCCGGCCCGAAGTGCTGCCGCTCACGTCGTCACTCGCCTATTTCTGGATGATGAAGGGGGAAAAAAGGGAGACCCACCGATGCAGACAGCTGCGAGAAGTCGGGTAGATTCATCGGGGGCGTCACAGGCAGGGAAGAATGGTCGCAGCACATAGATGGCAAAAGTGAGTGCCACCACAGTCTGAGCGCACGGTCTGACTATCAAGCACTCCACCCATAGTCTCATGAAGGCCCAGAAGGGACCAAAAGCTTCCATGATGTAGGCATAATCGGCACCCGATTTCGCTATCATGCATCCCAATTCCGCGTAGCAATAAGCCCCGATTGTGGAGAAAACGCCACAGAATGCCCAAATGATGAGAGAGAGACCAGAAGAGCCGGTGCCTATCAGGACACCTTTCGGCGAGATAAAGATCCCAGACCCGATGATGCTTCCCACGATCACGGTGATCCCATTCAACAGGGACATTTTGGGTTTGAGACGAATCTCCCTTTCGGGCTCCATTTGGGCCACCGGAGAATAACTCTTCTCGGTCTCTTGCTTCTCCTTCGCCATATTTCTTCAGTCGACTGTGAACCAACTTGACCGGAAGGAGGGGAGCAGATGAGGTCACGCAAGGCAATGTAGGGATTGCATCATACCACAAAAATCAGACACGGCACTTCCTACCCTTTCAATGTAATCACGAAAACTGAAAGGAAGTGGAAAGAAGGCTCTGCGAGCAGACTACACGTTTCTACGCTGGATAGCTAAGTAACATAGGATGGATAGGTATAGGAATAGGGTGCAGCCTGTTGGAGGCAACCGGGGAGGACCAGCGTGTTCGAGAGGGGTGAGGGAAGCGGTAGAGGCGACTGGTTGGGGATTGCGCCGGGGGAGAGAGAGAGAGAGAGATCCCCTTCAATAATATTGGGCTTTTGTGCGCATGTTCCCCCCAAGTAGTAGTGGGTAGGGTGTGAGTCTGCTGCGAGACACCCACACGAATTGGGCCAGACTCCTCCCTCCTTTGCCTGGGCATTTTTTTTTCAACTCGAAGAATCCAACTAAAGCACGCAGTAGAGATCGTATTTCATCAATACTGGTAGGTCAGAGGTCATCTTGGTTTCGCGTTAACCCCTGGCTCTGTACTATTCGTATCGGAATCGCAGACTGCCCAGTATATTCCTTCCACTCCACGATAGAACCGTCATATTGAACTCAGCATGGGATGGTTAAAAGAGTGGCGCCACTCCCATTCCATTTGAACTTGCGGCATCAAATCACGAAACTTAGCTTTCACATACGCCTCATTCGGCAGTATGGAAAAATGCCTCATTCACATCAGCATGTAAATTTATTCATAGACAATCTGGATATTTACTGTGGTGTAACTCGAGCGACTCTTACGCCATTGCTTCCACTTACTCCAAGTTTCTTTAATTCAAGCATTCTGTTATAAAATCGATTTGCATTAGTCTTTGGGAACCAAATCCATCTGATCGAGCCCCAAACATAACTCTTTAGGATGTTAGAAATGCGCGTACAAAATACATGCATGGATATACAACTGTGTAAAACTTTGGCGGTTCTCAACTTCGAACTCGCGAATCATGGGTTACCCCCGAATCGGGTAATGGTCACTCTCAGACTGATAACTCACATAACTTTTGCTAGTCACCGTCTGGATTTGGCAGATTCTCGTACAAACTAGGTTTTCTCTCTATATAAAAAAAATTTCGTTGCTAAATTCATCATAATTTATTTTTGATCACATTCCGCAGGAATCCATGATGCCAGACGGTAAGCAAGGGCTTGCTTTCTGTTTTAACCACGGCCCGTTCGGCATTTCTGTAATTCATCATTTCTTTTCGGTCTGACAGTGCATTTGAAAGAGAGAGAAAGCCGAAATTATGATATAATCATGAATGCATTTTTTTTCTTAATCTCCGTCTTCCTGTCGCCTCGTAATGTATCCGCTCGTGACCTAACTACTTTCTAATACCCGAGGAAAAGCTGCTTGATTATATACATGGAATTAATAGCACGACAATTATGCCATTTTTGTCGTATCCACAGCTGAGATAGTGACCCTTGCAGTCGCTGGAGACGGTATCTCGATGGGAAGAGGTAGAAAACGCCCAATGTATTCATTACAATACGAGAGCAAGGCTTTAAATCACTCCTCGGAAGTTTGTAAGAACGACTGCCATGTCATCGTCATGCAAAGCTGCCAGCACAAAAGAACAAGCTGGAATGCGGCGTGAACAGGCGACCCGATTGTTTCTCTTGGAGTATCCGTCTGGCGTCAGACGCGAGACTGCAGTGAAAACGGATTGATTTCCTGCTGCACGTTTCGACTCGGCTTCGCATTCACGTACGAACGTTTCCATTATAATCCCCGATGACTCAAGCCGAGATTGTACGAAGTCATTCCAAATATATTCGACCTGCCACTCTGTGTCATCCATTAAGGGTGTGTCCAGCTTCACACAGGGGGAGGTCTTGAAGCATGAAAAGCGCACCTTTACCCAAATGATCAAGAATATAATTGTTAGAGACGAGCGATCGTACGATTCCCGCGACCACCCCTGCCTACGCCCCTGTCCATTTTTGGGACAGCTGCAGCCAAGCCTGAACGCGTGAGCTCCCCATGCCACTCCCTGCCGGATCAGACAGGGGCATCCCTTGCCTATCAAATGTGCCTGTCTGACAGTGGCACTTGAATGTGGGGGCTGGAGCCAGTAACCATTTCCCTCACTGGGTTCTATTTGATGGAGGTTATTGTCCTCAGTGTCTGCCGCAGTCTATTTTTTTTATGGTTCCCTCTTAAAAAAAATTGAGGGGGGCGAATATTGTCCCGCCGAGTCTCTGGGTGTGTGTGTTTCCACTTTCGTTGTCCACGATAATTTGAAGGAAAAAAATCGTCTTGACCGCAATGAAAATGTATGCGCGCGCACATGCAGGCAGGATCAGACCGGGAATGATTTTGGTGCAGTACGCGCAAAAATTTTTTTTTAGAAAAAAAATATATAATTCCTACAAGGCGTAGCAAACCTCCTATCAAGTTAAAGGGAAAAGGGGGAAGAAAAAGAGGGAGGGGGGGACAGGGGACCATTTCCCTTATTCCGTCAATGTTCTATTCGCGTGGTTGGAAACAAAGGCAGCCTGTTGAGTACCACCCTTTTCTCATTGTCTCTTTCACCAGTAGCATGGGATCATCCCAATGAAAGTCTCCATAAAATTCCACGTCCCACACCCTATAATATATAGGTTTGGATGTACACCGGACGGTAAGCGTAATACACCCTATTTCTCAGGTTTCGGGATGCATGTCGGATATCCCATGGACATTACCTTGTATATCGGGTGGTGTGAAAATAAAGCATCCTGTTTGACGCTTTATGAAACCGACTATATAAACTCTAGGGTCGTAATTTTTTTCGTAGCGCATTGAAAACACAACAAAATTTGCTTCCTGAAAATTTCAAGTGTCTAGGTTGTCTGGATAAAAAGCGACAGTCATTCCAAGTGTAGTAATAAAAATTTGCTTTTTTATGCGAGATGGATGCAGTCTCTGTACTGCTCAAAAGATTTCTCTTTCTTGATGCCATTAAGGCTGTTCTTAATGCTGTGTTCTCGTCATAGTATTCTTGATTGTGCAGTGCCTTCAGGCCTCAGACAAGAAGCTAAGGCCTGAATTTGATGGAGTTTTCTATCAAATCGTGGACACTGTTCCGTGGAGTCTTTTCCCTTACCTTCTTTTAAAAAACAGCCCTCTAACACAGCCCTCTGGAAAAGCGGAAAATTCTTATCGAATTTTCAGCCACTGTACCACTTTACCCAAACCACAGACTTTAAAACTTTCTTGAAACAAATTTTAGAGTGTATTCTGTTTTATGTATGATGCATAAAATAGGCATATCTAACATTTCTATTGTAGGTTTTTATAAAGCCTCAAGCAGGACGCGTTTTTTTTTGTACTATCATTTATAAAAGACCCGTGGGATCCTATTGCGGGATAAGAAATGGACTCCCATCAGACTTCCCTTCCAAAGCTCTTGTAAATTCAATGGACTTCCATTAATGTCTCCAGTTTTTTATGCATGGCTAATTCCCTCAGGAGAACATCACAATGAACTCATGGAACGAGGGAGTTGTTGTTTCCTATAGGGCGTGCTGAATGTGCATTCTTTGGCTAATTGCATCCTGTGGACATCCATGAGATACAACCAGTCCGATGGTTGCGTGCCGCTGGATATCCGAAGGACATCTTAGAGCGATGTCACCGAGTTGGGCTATCTTGATGCCCATAGGACACGTTAAGAGGACTTTATAGTCAGGAAGTGCCCGGGTAAAGTTGAGATGAATGATGAAAGAAATATCGCCCCCAGTCATTCACACCAGTTTAAGGACGCTTTATTTAAATATAGAATTATATATTACGCGACAGAAATATTTTATATGACATATACTTCAATTATATTTTTTCAACATGAGGAACCAATGAACTATTTACAACATGACGCACTAACTAAAAAAAAAAACATGTCCTGAATTCTGTGTGGAATTACTTTACTCCAGCAATCGAACTGCCGCAGGTGTGCGGAGAGATTGACGAAGTCAGAAACTAATTCAAGGCTCTGCATATTATGCTGCATCATAATAACGTGGGAAAATTACTAGTCGAAGGTTCAAATTGCCTATTTCGATGAAGTCTAGAATTAGCTGATCAGACGCCGCCAGCCACTGGACGACACCATAGACAACCCTATCTTCGAAACCACGAACCCGTAACTCGAAGAAAACTCAGAGGGGAGTTTTTACTGTTGAGAATTTTCCATGTAATAAAAGCACTCGGAGTTTACGTTGCACGTGGGTTTCTCTTGGAAATCATTTTTTTGCTGGAAATTCTCAGAAACTCATTCCCGATTTTAGTCATTATGTAAAAAAAAAACTAAAAAACTCTCCTACGTATAAATTTATTTTTTAGCATAAATGATTCTTTCTGACTATTAAGCCCCTAAAATGGATGTAATACCGTCCCATGTGGGAAGTGCAAAGGATATCCCAGGGATGACCTGTCCCCCAGGAGCAAGAGATTATTCAGAGAAACTTTTCCCACGGGTAACTTTAGGAAAGGAAAGGCATTGGAATTCCTCAATGCCTTAAGAGGTAATCCAGTTCAGAGACACATCAGGTGAGTCTGGTGACGGTGGAAAAATGAATAAACGGGTTTCATCCCCTGGGTAAAGAGTAAAATTTCGGCATGAAAGGTCAGCCCAGGAATTTTATCAGACAAGCATTCACAGAGCGAGAACAGAACCTGCCAGGTGTCTGGGAAAGAAGATATTAAGAAAGGATTAATGGACTATTCCTGCAAGAGAAATTTAAGCCTCGCAAGAAGATAACCGATGGAAAGTGCTACTCGCTTGCTAGAAGTGCTATACTTCTATCCATACCGAGGGCAAAGAAGAAAGGTCAGATCCAGGTCAGAATATGTTTCTTCCATGTTTTGTGCTGACTGGGTGCATTCCAAAAAGTCACTTGGAGGCGACATTTTGATATCAGTAGGTCGGCTCTGACATCATCAGGACGTCATACATCCTATTGTAGACGCACGTCGGATGCTCATGGGTCCTTCAAACTCGAGGAACACAGCAACTGAAATTCGCGCAAAGATCGGCATCGGCCGAGTGAGTACGGTTGTTGGGATGGATGCTTTAGGGTCTCCTTCGTCCTCAGCTGGCTCTCATTGCTGTCTACTCCCTCCAGCGCTTCAATGCCATTAATTTTTTAAATTATATATTCTGGATTCATGTTTAAAAAGCAAATAGCTGATCAATGGAGAGCTTGACTTCAGTCAAGGATTCCCCAAGAGTAATAGGAAATCGTCCAGCCTGCCTCTCAACCCTTCAATCGTGGTAGTAGATATTCAAAACGTGATAGTGGTTTGTTCAATGATGTAATTTCATGAAAGAAAGCTCATTATTGGACTTGGCTTGAGCAACTTTTTTGTATTTGAATGGTTTACATTCTTAAAACGTCAGAATTAAAGCTTTTCCAGGTCACATTATGCTTCAATCTGTGCAGAAGAAAAATATTAATTTTTATAAGAAATTGAAGTTGTTGAAATGACTTCTCATTTTACATCACAAAGCAGTGTCTTGTGAACAAAAACATATTTATGAGCAAAGAAACCATGAGAAAAGTGCAGGCAAGCCTCACAATAATTTAGCAAGAATTATGAGTCAAAATCTTTTTGATTTTCTTGATAAAAATTGGAAATCACACAGTAAAACATCTCATGAGAAAGTAAATTGTCTATTTCAAACTTTCACAACTACAAGGGACAACATATCAGAAGTTGTGGCCAACAGTGTATTTGTGAGTCTGCTTCAGAGGTACAGGTATGACACTGCCCACACAAGGAAGAAAGCATTGTGGGTAAAAAATTGCAGTTGTTTCAGGAACTTCCAGATAGAAGGCAGTGTAGTAGCAATATCAGGTGGATGCCAAGTAGGTTCAGTTCAAGTAGAGAACTGTGACTGAATTTCTTTTAAAAATAGGGTGAAGTTCTATTGTAATCTAAACTTGATTGCAAAACATGTATAGCAGTGAATGCATGAAAGCCAAAAGTATAAAAAGATGGATCAAACCTTTGCAGACGGTAATACTGACATTAAGGACAGGCCTTGTATTGGACACCCAGTGACAACAGAGGAACGTCAGCACATTGATGCCATAAGATGAAACAAAGTGCATTTTCTTTGCAAACACTGCACAGGATTCTTGCAGCATAACTGCATTTTTAACCTTTGCTTCATCTCTTGGCATCAATTTAGACAGTTTTCTTTTGTTGTTGCAGTCACTGGGTGTCTAGTCTAGTGTCTAGGGTGTCTAGACCAGTCCTTAATGTCCACATTATCAACAGCAAAGTGATTTTCATCTATCTTCTACTTTCAGCACTCATACATTCACTGCTGCTCACTATTTTTACAACCAGGTGCAGATGAAAGTGGCACATTCACCTTATTTTGAAATGAATTCAATCACCCTTCTTTGCATAAACTGAACTTGCTCAGAACTCTTCATTTGTATTGCTAGTACGTCACCCCTATGCAAGTTCATGAAACAACGGCACATCATTACCCACAATGCTTCCTTCCACCAGTGTGCATGGTGTCATCCCTGTATCTTTCATCATTCTCACAATAAAAAACTTGGCAACAACTTTTGGTACTTCTCTCAAATCACTGCCAGCAGTGTGACAGTTAAACCAAATCACAGGAGAGATGAAACAGAGCACAAAGGCCTTCACCTATATCCATTGAAGAAAGTTTTCCAAGATTTGTACAAAGAGCTATTACTCTAATTGTTTCTTAAAAACGGAAGCAATCTGCATTGGGCAAGATTGGACTTCCATTGTCAACAATACATGCAATGACATTTCAAGTTAACTTATACATTCTTGCACTATTTTTACTCCTATAAACCCATGACTCCTTCCCTCTTCAAGAAGCTACTGAGGGAATGGCTTATACATTTTTATTGATGCAAATTCAACAAGGTATATGAACTCCCTGAAATGCTCTTTAATTTCTTGTTGACAGATTACCACTAAGATAAGTTAGAGAATGCTCAGAAAGGAAGATCCCAGACCGATCTGCAAATTAATTCCTGAAATGCTAATGACAATACAACTACATTTCAGATGCTGCTTGCTATAAGCTGACATAGCACAAAAAGAAGTACTTGTAAAGGGGTAGAAATTCAAAAGAATTGATGAGTTTTTGGAATTTAAAAAATGGTAGACAAAAATAAATTTACATTTCAGTCTACCTCATTTCTGAAAGTTATTTAATCATATCACATCTACCAATTGCACTTGATCAACCAATGACAATTAATAAAGCTAGTGAGATCTCAAGTTTAGGAGTCAAGGAGGACATGAATGCTGAACAAGATTCCCAGAGTATGCACAAAGGACAGTTAGCACCAAAACCTACTTTACCTTAAGATTACCTCTCCAAAGAATTGATGAAAAGTGTCCAACAAATGCCTGCTTGGTGCTTCCTGGTGCTGTTTACTAAGCTTTCACATGGCTTCCCTACTAACACTTCCCTCTCCGTTGGTCAAAATTTCTAAAACCTCAGATGGGATGTCTACCAATATGCAAATCCTAATTGCCTTTCATTTCCAGAACCACAATCTCATCATTTTACGAATCCAGCCAAAACCAAACACAAAATATGGCACAAAATCATGCATGCATTGAGGATTCTGACTTTGTAGTCTACATTGACAGAAATGCCAGTAGTTGACCCAATAAATTTTAGGAACTGAAACAAGCACACTGGATACTGATTGGCCAGGAATTTTAGCCAATTGGATGCTTTGCATATTTTATTAACATCAGCTACTATGTTGCTTTTGAAAAACTGCACTATTCATGCTTATATGATTTTCACTGGAAACTAAAGGAAATTAGGATGGTTTCTGCAACTCACTACCCACAGCATGTGGCTCATGAACAGCAGTCAACATTAGAACGCATGGAAATGCCCAAATCAAGGCATTCCCGATGGAGGACCAGCTCCACAGCCCTGAGGACATTTTCAGTAATGAAAGATGGTTTTCGGAGTCTCTCTGACAAAGTGACAAAATCCCGTGGGGAATGGGAATGAGAATCCACACTATGATCACCATATACACCAGTCTGTAAGAGCAGAGACACCTTGTTTAATAGGCACTAGTAAGAGGATTAAGGAATAAGTCTAGGAAATAGTGAAAAAAGAAGAGTAAGGTTTTACCTCAACAAGGATACTGTAGCAATGATCAGGGAGTTGAAAATCCTCCACTTCCAGCCCAGGCTGTTCATACCCATTGTTTCCCTGGGTTTTGACATTCATCACATATTGATTGTATAGATTTCCTCCAAAAACATCAGTGTTGACGTTGTCCCTATGGATAATGGCATTTCATTACTATCAGCACAGAAACCTCTTGGATGCATCCTAGACACCATTCTTCATCAATGAAGGACTATAGAGAATTATTACCCAATGACATATAGCCGTTGAATGCCTCCTTTGGGAAGGACTCCAATTCTCTCAGCTTGTCGAGTCACCATTTTTGCAGCATAATGGAAAGTTACTTCACTTGGTTTTCCCACAAGAGCAGTGTAGATAAGATCCTTCCCTGTGATTTTCTTGTATAAACTTTCCAGGCATACCATAAAAGCCCCATGCCCAAATCTATCCAAAAATGAGGCAGGGACAAGTTAAGAGTAGAAACAGGAAGTAATCGTAGAAGCCCTCATTCCTTAGAAGTGACATCTCATTTAGAGACAACCTCACCTTGGCAGTGGGGCTTCAGCCATCCAATGGAGATCCATATTGCATGCTATGATAGGCAAATGGGGATATGGGATAGACTTGAGACCCTTGTATGGCTTTCCATCAGTCATCAGAATGTCTATGATGAGTTGAAGACAAGTCTCCCACCTCACAGGATCTCCAAAGAGTACAACTCCTTCAATTGGGGTATAATATTCCCCAAAGTTGCATGGCTAGGAAAGACAGGGAATTGAGGAGCTTAGAAAAAAAAAAGAAGATAAGTACAACCCCATTCACTTCATGTGCTCAGGGGCATGGCCAGCTGTGTCCATATGATAGTGACTGTATGGGATAAGAGAGCATTGGCACTTAATGAAGTATATTACTATTATGGTGTCCTTGGCTGAAAGATAAAAAAAAAAAGACTCTGGCCCAGGTGGAAGCTTTAACATTCCCCTGTCAGTAAACATCCAATATCTAATTTTCAGGTAAATGTTAGATCATTGGACAGTGCATGAAGCTTGTTTTCCCCAAGGAGTTGACCTACCGCACGAATTCTTCTGCGTTGGTCCACAGCATCCAGTAATGGGAAGGAGCTCCTCAGGTCATCAACAGTCACCACATTGTTGAAGCCAACATTTGCAGCAACCTCTTTGACAGGACCTTGTCCAGTTATGAGTACCTTTTTATTGTGGAATTCTCGATACAGACGCAGTGGAGAGTGTGACATGATGACTTGATCTGCATTGATCTATCCATATAATTGGAAAAAATCAGAGGAATTGCAATTAGAGATGAAAGTCTCAAGATGTGCTACCTACCGGTACATTGAGCCACGAAGAGAGAGATTCTGCCTTTTGATGCCTTAAGGTATTTCCAGCATTAGTCACAAAGACTGTTGGGACCAAGAAATTCTTGTTTGAGTCAACAAGAAGACTGAATGCCTCAAGGGCATAGGATAGGACCTTCTTTCCTCGCACCAGGACTCCATCAATGTCAAACATCAAACCAAAGGGTATCTTGCGACCCTGGATGTGAGGAGGACAAGCAGAGACTTCTGTGATGAGTGGAATCCAAAAAATCCATCATACAGTTTCAAAGCTGAAGACAGGTGAGAGCAAACTTTCTCAGAAAGAATTTCATGCAAGAGCATGCTACAAAGATTCTCCAAGTGTTCTTTTCCACACTTCAATTTCAAGTGATTTAACCCTCAACTGGAACTGGGTCCCAGGACTCAAAATTCTAGTTTACTTACCCAAAATCTCCATCCATACCAAAACCCACAGACTCTGACAGGTGAAGAGGCTTGCCAATATCTTTGATTACTCTGCACTGTACCACCACCACCTGATATGTCAGAAAATGAAAAAAAAAAATTTTTACTCGGGTCCCATGGACTTAGGTGTAGCAGTTGAGGGTTAAATGGTCCCTAGGTGGGTGAGGGACAAGATGCATCATAGACCAAAAAATTGCCTTGGTTATCTGTGGTCAACTGTCTCACCATTCTTAATGGGCGTCTCCAAGCACGTGTTTCAGAGGCTTTCTGCGACTGGCTTCAGGAAAAACAATTTCATATGATGAGATTCATTCAGGCTTACGCTTGTGAACCAACAATAAACCTGTTAACATTGAGATTCCGCGACTCAGAGCATCGTGGACATGAACGCAGCACACGGTAACCCTGGTTCAATGGGGACGAGGATGCTCCGCCCAGTTCATGTGATTCAACGTCCATAGACTAGACAACAGATCTTGGGCAACCTCAAGTAGAAACTTAAGGTAGACTAGGCTCCTAGCTTGGCCGAGGCCCAGAAAGGGACAGTACAGTGCTATCCTATGGCCCCACATGCATGAATCTAGTCCGCCATGCTTCTCTGTGTCGTCTGCTGTTCCCTACGCACTTTAACCCGGTCGCACACTGGCGAAACTCTCATGAAGAATACATCATACGCGATGGACCACGAGTTGAAGCATGCTTCACCACTTCTTGGCGTCGCACAGTTCCATGTTACACGTGCTTCATCGAATTAAATGCGCGTTATGCGTGTTATACATGTATGATATGCTCTTACGAGAATGCTTCACCAGTGTGCGGCGGGCCTTAGATCGTGGTTATTATTGTAAAGGCCTAGGTTTAGGTCTGACATCCAATATTGGTGAAAATACTTTTTGGGTTTCATGTGCTTGGTTCTTATTGCTTCTCATATTTCGTATATCCTGGGCAGTGTTTTGTTATCGGAAACAATCACTTCTTTTGTCTGCGATTTGATGAACCGCCTATTACCTGCTGCGGCATTGGTACTTGGCGTATTGCTTATACCCTGTAGAGAGAGTCTAATTCTGTTGTGGTTGAAGATTTGATCGTTGTTTATAGTTGTGTTAGTGGAAAACGAGAGAATGTGCTTAAAAATTTTGACTTAGTTTGATTTTATTTATCAGGCAAAGAAAGCATAAGTAATCTTTGTACAATACATAAAGGCTGGAACCCATGTGGTTGGGTCTGGTTTGAAAATACACTGCTAAACAAGGAAAATAACAAAGAGCACATATCAAGCTCTTTGCAGGTTAATACATCAAGGATGTCTCTTTTCATTCAACTGAATATGAGGATGACAAACTTTCATAACCTAAGAGGTGTTCTTCCAATAGAAGATCTTTATCATATACCAGGTGTTGCATATAGATAGACCCTCCCCCCTCTACAGCCTAAGCTATAAGAGCTAGAACTCTATCCCATTTTGTTGTTTTATATGTCATATGTTGGTGATTCATTGATCGCATCCGTGCTATTAGATTTCGAGAAGCTCATGATGCAGGAGCTGATTTTACCTGTTCATTGGTTTTGATAAAGAGTAAACGTTCAGCTTCTGCATGATGAAGCCCTACTTTTCAAAGCTTTGACCACACAACAAATGCTGAAAGACTCAGGGACTGATTTCTTTGGAAATGCAGAATGGTTGGGAAATTCTCCTGATCTGAATGTGGCTGAGAACATTTGGGTTATCCTGAAAGATTGAGTTGAGGCTCTCATGCATTTGGAGGGCAAGCAGCATGGATTCTCTCAAGAAGCCTTGCAAAGCAACCTCATGGTTGCTCAGGTTGAAGGACACGGAAGATGACACAGGACTCCTTAAGCACCTCTTTTCATCTTACCCCCCTTGTCTCAATGCTGTCAGAGACAGCCAGGGTGCACACAAATTAGTAGAAGTACATGTTTCTATTTGAAAATGAATGCTCTTTCTCATGATGTAATAGTTTTTTTTTCCCTAACTCCTATAGTTTAGGCTGTGGGGGGACTATCTAAATGTCCCAGGACATTTAGATGTCCTGGAACTGTATTCATACATGGAGGGAAGTTGAATGAAGGGGATCTCATTTTTATCTTTTGAAATCACTAAGGACATCTGTAATGTGGAGTGTGGAGCCTTGATTGTGACTCAAGTTATTGAATGACTTTTTAGATGTTCAGTAGTAAGCAAAGTTGGATTGCATGGGAAAACTTTACCTTTTTGAAAGACCTAGGATTTCCTTTAAGAATTGTACATGAGGACATTGCATTATTGCTTATGATAATGTAAAGGTGGCTCAGGTGATTCAAAGAATCATTAGGAATAGTTTCCTGTGTGAAATATATAATATGCAAATACTTCATTTGTAAAATGATCAGGGTTGCATTCAGCTAAGGATGTTGTCACATAATTTTTGAGGTAATGTTTTAGATGGTGAAGAGTTTGTGAAGAAAATATGCCAAGCCTCCCCCCAGTATGCTATTCAGAAATTAACATAGGCACATACAGTACAAGTCTGTGAACTTTAATTTTATTTTGCTTATATAAGTCTGAATATAACCATAATTTTCCTGCTAACAAGTTTTTCATATGATATTACATACTTTGGCCATATGTGGTATTTTCATGTAAGTTAAGATCAAATTTCTGTGCACTATGGGAATTTCACCCATAGGTAAAATGATCAAGTATGCTCTTGTAGTAATTTTATAGTAATTTGTAGCAATAAGAAACTGCAAAGAGACATACAAGCTCTCATTTCCTGTAATGAAATTCATAACCATTGCACCAGGCAACTGTCAAAGGAATGAATTTATAGATTACCAGGTTCAACTTAAGGATTGAAATTATTGCTTGCTGCTGGTATATGATCAATACAATTTCAATTGCTTTAGGACAATCTGTCAAAAGAGACTTCCTCAAGAAAAAATCAAGCAAATATTCACTTGAAAACTAAATTATAAGTAACTTCAGTAGTCCTAATGGCTGTAACTTGTAATTGTAATTTAGTAGTCACTTGTAATTTAGTAGTCTTAGGTTGAGTTCATACTCGTGCTGTACAGCATGCTGGATGCTGCAACTGCATACTGTCCTATGCAACACACTCATGTTGAATTGGATTTTGCCGCTGCCATACATCTGTACAGCACGAGTATGAACTCGGCCTTAGTCGTGGATTCATGACGCATGACTGCAATATCACACCACCTTATGCTGTTTTTTGTTTTAACTAAAAAAATAAGAGCAGCTTAGAACTGCCCCATGCTGGTATTGTTCCATACCAGAACTAAAGGTTGACAGTGAAATCTGCCTTTTCTAGCCAAATCCAGAATTACTATTGGAAACCTTAAATATAAGCCCAGTCCATTGGTGAGCTTCCATTCAATGACCATTGGGAATAGAGGAATATTGCAGGTAGGTGGGAGTTGAGTATCATGCATAGTCCTGTCAGATATGACATTGGTGTTAGCTAGCTTGTTTCTGCTGCCATATATTACCTCCTTTTTTCTGTCATCAATGGAACCATCACCTAAAAAAGCTGGGAGGGAACTAATGCCTCTAGCTGGTTACCTGACAACCCAACTGAAGCTGAGTGATGCCCATTCACCTTGAGGGGTCAAGATCCTGGAAAGCTGATAGTTACTCATGCCTTCCCTTTTGTAAGCAAATGATATTTAATCAAATTCAAAATTTGCATTTAAAATTCTGTTTGGTTTGTTTTTTTTACATGAATCTATCCAGTGTCCACATCTACCTCCGTACAAATTGTCAAAGTAGTTGAGCCAATATTTTTTTTAATTTAGCATCAGGACAACCAGAGTGTGGGATATACTCAAAGACAGACAGATGTATATTCAGAATGAAACTCCAAGTGGTCTCTTTCCTTTCAGCAAAGGAGACCCAAAATAATTACTCTCTTCCTTTACAAGTAGTACTAAGTCTGCTGCCACCCCATCTTTCTTCTTTTGCTGGTGTCATCACACCAGCAAAGTGAACCCCAGCAAAACCTTAGTTTTTTTATTTTAATTTCCTACATGTTACATATAGTGCTAGTACCTTATCTGAAGAATTGTTTCAGTAAATTTTTAGTCATTTTAGCAATTTTAGTGGTCATATACAGGGTGATTCAAAATAATGTTTGCACATTTTGAAAATATGAATCTGTATTATTTATTGCACTTAATAAGCAAAACTTTCCTTTGTATACAAGTGAACTTGTGAAAACAGCATACAATTGTCTTCTCATGTCAAGTGTTGAAAATATTTTTATTTTTAAGAACTCTGGTATGGGCTTATTAGTTTCCAGATTTTCAGGACTCTGCGCTGTCTGTTTTCTTTTGCACAGGATTTTATTCACATTTTGGACAGTTCTGTGTTCTTCAAATTTATCACACATGACTAATTGTTACACATTTGGTAGCTGCTGTTCCCTACTTTTGATAAGAAATCTGAAACTTGGTACATATGTACCTTTTGGAATACAGAGTTCAGAAAAAATCAGACTTTGGAGGTACATGCCCTGGGGGTACATATTTTGGGGGGAAACGTTTTTTTTTTAAATATATATTGTGACAGATGAGAATGGCATTGAGAGGGTCTACTAGATGTCTTGGGTTCAGTGGTGTAGTGGTAGCACATCTTACCAGCAAGCAGGAGGTCCGAGTTCAATTCCCGGCCATTCTTCGCTTTCATTTGGCTTATTTTGCCTTCCCTGTCCCGTTACTCATTTCCCCTCCATAACTTTATTTTTGCTTGAGTAAAATGAA